TGTGTGTGTGTGTGTACTCACCTAGTTGTACTCACCTAGTTGTGTTTGCGGGGGTTGAGCTCTGGCTCTTTGGTCCCGCCTCTCAACCGTCAATCAACAGGTGTACAGATTCCTGAGCCTATCGGGCTCTGTCATATCTACACTTGAAACTGTGTATGGAGTCAGCCTCCACCACATCACTTCCTAATGCATTCCATTTGTCAACCACTCTGACACTAAAAAAGTTCTTTCTAATATCTCTGTGGCTCATTTGGGCACTCAGTTTCCACCTGTGTCCCCTAGTACGTGTGCCCCTTGTGTTAAATAGACTGTCTTTATCTACCCTATCAATCCCCTTCAGAATCTTGAATGTGGTGATCATGTCCCCCCTAACTCTTCTGTCTTCCAGCGAAGTGAGGTTTAATTCCCGTAGTCTCTCCTCGTAGCTCATACCTCTCAGCTCGGGTACTAGTCTGGTGGCAAACCTTTGAACCTTTTCCAGTTTAGTCTTATCCTTGACTAGATATGGACTCCATGCTGGGGCTGCATACTCCAGGATTGGCCTGACATATGTGGTATACAAAGTTCTGAATGATTCTTTACACAAGTTTCTGAATGCCGTTCGTATGTTGGCCAGCCTGGCATATGCCGCTGATGTTATCCGCTTGATATGTGCTGCAGGAGACAGGTCTGGCGTGATATCAACCCCCAAGTCTTTTTCCTTCTCTGACTCCTGAAGAATTTCCTCTCCCAGATGATACCTTGTATCTGGCCTCCTGCTCCCTACACCTATCTTCATTACATTACATTTGGTTGGGTTAAACTCTAACAACCATTTGTTCGACCATTCCTTCAGCTTGTCTAGGTCTTCTTGAAGCCTCAAACAGTCCTCTTCTGTTTTAATCCTTCTCATAATTTTAGCATCGTCCGCAAACATTGAGAGAAATGAATCGATACCCTCCGGGAGATCATTTACATATATCAGAAACAAGATAGGACCGAGTACAGAGCCCTGTGGGACTCCACTGGTGACTTCACGCCAATCGGAGGTCTCACCCCTCACCGTAACTCTCTGCTTCCTATTGCTTAGATACTCCCTTATCCACTGGAGCACCTTACCAGCTACACCTGCCTGTCTCTCCAGCTTATGTACCAGCCTCTTATGCGGTACTGTGTCAAAGGCTTTCCGACAATCCAAGAAAATGCAGTCCGCCCAGCCCTCTCTTTCTTGCTTAATCTGTGTCACCTGATCGTAGAATTCTATCAAGCCTGTAAGGCAAGATTTACCCTCCCTGAATCCATGTTGGCGATTTGTCACGAAGTCCCTTCTCTCCAGATGTGTTACCAGGTTTTTTCTCACGATCTTCTCCATCACCTTGCATGGTATACAAGTCAAGGACACTGGCCTGTAGTTCAGTGCCTCTTGTCTGTCGCCCTTTTTGTATATTGGGACCACATTCGCCGTCTTCCATATTTCTGGTAGGTCTCCCGTCTCTAGTGACTTACTATACACTATGGAGAGTGGCAGGCAAAGTGCCTCTGCACACTCTTTCAGTACCCATGGTGAGATCCCATCTGGACCAACAGCCTTTCTAACATCCAGATCCAGCAGGTGTCTCTTGACCTCCTCTCTCGTAATTTCGAACTCCTCCAAGGCCGCCTGGTTTACCTCCCTTTCTCCTAACACAGTGACCTCACCCTGTTCTATTGTGAAGACCTCCTGGAACCTCTTGTTGAGTTCCTCACACACCTCTCTGTCATTCTCTGTATACCTGTCCTCGCCTGTTCTAAGTTTCAATACCTGTTCTTTCACTGTTGTTTTCCTTCTGATGTGACTGTGGAGTAGCTTTGGTTCGGTCTTGGCTTTGTTTGCTATATCATTTTCAAAAATTTTCTCTGCTTCTCTTCTCACCCTGACGTACTCATTCCTGGTTCTCTGGTATCTCTCTCTGCTTTCTGGTGTTCTGTTATTCCGGAAGTTCCTCCACGCCTTTTTGTTCAGTTTCTTCGCTTCCATACATGCCCTATTATACCATGGATTCTTCTGTTGCTTCTCGGATTTTTCCCTTTGGGCCGGGATGAACCTGTTTACTGCCTCCTGACACCTTTGGGTAACATAGTCCATCATACCCTGTATCTCTGAGGTCTGTGTCCCAAGGTATTTCACTTAGGAAACTTCTCATCTGTTCATAATTCCCCTTTCGGTATGCCAGCCTTTTGATTCCTAGTTCTTTTTGGGGGGAGATAAGTCCTAGCTCTACCAGGTACTCAAAATTCAATACACTGTGGTCACTCATTCCCAAGTGTGTGTGTGTGTGTGTGTGTGTGTGTGTGTGTGTGTGTGTGCGCGTGTGTGTGTGTGTGTGTGCGCGCGTGTGTGTGTGTGTGTACTCACCTAGTTGTACTCACCTAGTTGTGTTTGCGGGGGTTGAGCTCTGGCTCTTTGGTCCCGCCTCTCAACCGTCAATCAACAGGTGTACAGATTCCTGAGCCTATCGGGCTCTGTCATATCTACACTTGAAACTGTGTATGGAGTCAACCTCCACCACATCACTTCCTAATGCATTCCATTTGTCAACCACTCTGACACTAAAAAAGTTCTTTCTAATATCTCTGTGGCTCATTTGGGCACTCAGTTTCCACCTGTGTCCCCTTGTGCGTGTTCCCCTTGTGTTAAATAGACTGTCTTTATCTACCCTATCAATCCCCTTCAGAATCTGAATGTGGTGTGTCCCCCCTAACTCTTCTGTCTTCCAACGAAGTGAGGTCAATTCCCGAAGTGTAGTGTGTGTGTGTGTGTGTGTGTGTGTGTGTGTGTGTGTGTGTGTGTGTGTGTGTGTGCGTGTGTACTCACCTAGTTGTGTTTGCGGGGGTTGAGCTCTGCCTCTTTAGTCCTGCGTCTCAACTGTCAATCAACTGGTGTACTGATTCCTAAGCCTATTGGGCTCTATCATATCTACATTTGAAACTGTGTATGGAGTCTGCCTCCACCATAACACTACAACACTACTTAATGTATTTCATTTGTTAACTACTCTAACGCTGAAAAAATTCTTTCTAACGTCTCTGTGGCTCATATGGGTACTAAGTTTCCACCTTTGTCCCCTTGTTCGTGCTCCACCCGCGCTAAAGAGTTTATCTTTGTCCACCCTGTCAATTCCCCTGAGAATTTTGTAGGTGGTTATCATGTCTCCCCTTACTCTTCTGTTTTCCAGGGTTGTGAGGTTCGGTTCCCTTAGCCTTTCCTCGTAACTCATTCCTCTCAGTTCCGGGACCAGTCTGGTGGCACACCTCTGAATCTTCTCTAACTTCATCTTGTGTTTAACTAGGTATGGACTCCAGGCTGGAGCTGCATACTTCAGGATTGGTCTTACATAAGTGGTATACAGGGTCCTGAACGATTCCTTACACAAGTTTCTAAAGGCAGTTCTTATATTGGCCAGTCTAGCATATGCCGCTGATGATATCCTTTTGATGTGGGCCTTTGGGGACAAGTACGGTGTGATATCGACCCCCAGATCTTTCTCTCTATTTGACTCTTGTAGGATTTCACCTCCCAGATGGTACCTTGTGTTCAGCCTTCTGCTCCCTTCGCTTAATTTCATTACTTTACACTTTCCTGAGTTAAACTTTAGCAGCCATTTTCTAGACCATTCCTTCAGTTTGTCCAGGTCCTCTTGTAGTCTCTGTGTATCTTCATCTGTTTTGATTCTTCTCATAATTTTTGCGACATCAGCAAACATTGAGAGGAATGAGTCTATATCCTCTGGAAGGTCGTTTACATATACTAGAAATATGATGGGTCCGAGAACAGAGTCCTGTGGAACCCCACTGGTGATATCTCGCCTCTCTGATGCCTCCCCCCTCACCGTTACTCGCTGTTTCCTACTCCTTAGATACTCCCTTATCCACTGGAGCACCTTACCTTTGACTCCTGCCTGCTGCTCCAACTTTTGTAACATCCTTTTGTGAGGTTTTGTGTCAAAGGCTTTCTGACAGTCCAAGAAAATGCAGTCTGCCCACCCTTTTCTTTCCTACCTAATTTGTGTTGCTTGGTCATAGAATTCTATTAGGCATGTGAGGCACGATTTACCATCTCTAAACCCATGCTGGTGGTGTGTTACAAAGCTGTTTCCCTCCAGATGCTATACGAGCCTTTTCCTCACGATCTTCTCCATCACCTTGCATGGTATACAAGTTAGGGAAACTGGCCTGTAGTTCAGTGCCTCTTGTCTGTCACCCTTTTTGTAAATTGGGACTACATTAGTTGTCTTCCAGCTTACCAGAAGGTCCCCAGTTTCCAGTGACCTGTTATACACCATAGAGAGTGGCACACTTAATGCTTCTGCACCTTCTTTTAGAATCCACGGCGAGATTCTATCAGGCCCAACAGCTTTTGACACATTCAGTTCCAACAGATTCCTTTTGACCTCATCACTGGCGAGGTAAATTTCCTCCAAGGTTCTTCGGTTTGCCTCCTCATTTAGTACAAGGACCTCTCCTTGTTCTATTGTGAAGACCTGCTGGAATCTCTTGTTGAGTTCTTCACACACCACTTTGTCGTTCTCTGTGTATATGTTCTCTCTTTTCTCATTTTCATCACTTGTTCTTTCACTGCTGTTTTCCTCCTGATGTGGCTGTGGAGCAGTTTTGGTTGGTTGGAGCAGTTAGCTTTACTCGCGATATCATTATCGTACTGCCTTTCTGCTTCTCTCCTCACTCTGATGTATTCATTTCTGGCCCTCTGGTATCTCTCCCTGCTCTCTGGTTTTCTGTTGTTCCTGTAGTTTCGCCATGTTCTTTTACTCAATTGCTTCGCTGCCGCACATTCCTGGTTGAACCACGGATTCTTCTGTTACTTTTCATTTTTTTGGACTGGGATAAACCAGTCTGCAGGTATCTCTCTCTTTGTGTGTGCGCGCGCGCTCATTTTTTCACTATAAATTCGATGTGCAATAATTGTAGTCAAATCAAAATAAGGTAATGCAAATTTATGTAAATTAACTTGTCTTCTTTTTCAGCGAGGAATATGGACCCTTACGTATTCAAGGAATTTATTAACGACCTGACATTTGTTATGGTCGACAAGGAGCACATCTCGTAGTGTGGTGATCAACAACTGTCTGTGATACGCTGGTGTACGTCTGCAAGAGTTCAGTCTTCCGTCATCAACTCAGTTTCCACATGATTGAGCTTTATACACCATTAAAAACTGTTTAAATCATCCCGTAATAAAGCGTGGCTGCCTTACTGCCCACTTTGTTAATTTTGTCATACTTCACTTTTATCATCTTGCGTTGATTTGTTCTGAAGTAGTTCACCAGCATTAACCTCTGATACTCCTTCTAATCACTTGATCATTTTCATGACAAATTAGATTGCTTGATGGAATGTACCTTCCCGAGTCGTTTCTGAAGCAGTATTAACATAACTACTTTTCATTTTATAAATGAGAAATTACTGGGGCGATTTTTGGTTGCTAGGCAATCAAAGATCGCCACGGTAAATGATAATTGGACTTTGAATATGATGAGAACATCTTTGGCGCAGGTTGGGGTTCGAACCATCGTCCTGAGTAACCCCAGACGCGCACTTTAACCCGTCATGGCTCAAAAAAAATTCATTGATATATTATGTTATTGCGATTTCATTGTGTGAATGACTCGTATAATGTTTGCACGAGAAATAACAGTGGAAAATTAACACATGTTTTAACTCAAAATATAATTAGGCTTGTATTCGTACTTGCAAATAATGTCTCAATAGAAATTTAGTTCTGTAGTGAATATCAACTTGACCAGCTGTTTGAGATAAAACAATACAAGTTTCAATAATAATATATTAACTTGGAATGTGCCTTTGGAATAATCTGACTCAAGATATTAAGTTGAAGCAGGTTCAGAATTTTCATTGGTTCCTGAACAGAGTACATACTCGCTTTCATTGCAATAAATATGAATATATTATCAGGTGATGGGGGTTTTATAAACTGCATACTGCACTTAACTCATATTTCACTTTCTGGCGAACAGAGACCCCAACCACTTCCTGATAAAATAATATCGCCTATGGCAGCAACACTGCTGCTGTCGTTAATCAGTCAGCAATGGACACTGGAGTGCATATAATAAATTGGGAGATCACCCCTGTAATCGCTGTATACTCTGAGAGGGTTTCAACGTCCCCTTTGAGAGAGCGGCTCCAATCTGTCCTTTTGTTCATGAATACCCTGGAAACACAAACCGAAACTGTCTCTATTTTCCGCTTGTTACAACTTGTAATAAAGTTGTTACATCTTGGCTAAACGTGTTTATGACGTATTAGAACGTTGTTACAACTTGCTATATTGGTTGTTATAACTGGTTAGGTGTTAAAACTTGTTCGAACGTTGTACCAACGTCGTAGTTTCGCTGTGTGTTTGCTGGGTACACACCCTCTCGAGCTACCGTGACTCCCCCCCCACACTCTCCTTATTATGGGATGATTCCCCTTTATGCTGTTCTGACCTCTGTCAACAAATCTGCAGCCGTTTCTCTCACTATCTAGGAAGCTTCACCAGGATAGGAGCAAATATCATCTGTCAACAGACAAATATTTATTACATGAAAACACATACAAAGAAATATATACAATATTACAGTACAGCACTCTAGGTTACTAACCGGTAACACTCCAATATCGCAACCCGTTCTCGCAAATTTAATAAGTCAATATTGACTTATTAAATATGTGCATAGGTGACATACTTAACATAATAGATACCCTTAAAAAGATTCATAGAAAACACCGACCTTACCTAACCTTGTTAGTACCTTAAGATAAGCATCTTATTGCTTCGTAATTACAATTATTACCTAACCTATAATAGGTATAGGTTAAGTAATAATTGTAATTACGAAGCAATAAGATGCTTATCTTAAGATACTAACAAGGTTAGGTAAGGTCGGTGTTTTCTATGAATCTTTTAAAGGGTATCTATTATGTTTAGTATATCACCTATGCACGTAGTTAATAAGTCAATATTGACTTTACGAATTTGCGAGAACGGGTTGGCTCGGGGGCTCAGCCCCTCAGTCACTCACTTACCTCAGGCGAGTGAGCAGCCCGTCCTCCAAACAAAGATCCAAAAGTGATTCCATGCACCCGCCAAACCCCCTGTTTATGAATGAAAAGCGGTTTACACACGACTCACAACTGCTAACGTTCGAACATATCCGGAACAAGTGCTTCACTGACAAATTTTGTTCGAATCACAACGCTGTAAATGCTTCACCCACGTACTACAAATACAAATAATCGCCAAAAGAACCTAAACACCTAACCTAACCTAACCTATGCCTATATATACACAATATGCTAATATATTATAATATAAATTTATACTTGAGAAAATTCCCGTTTTGAGTGAACAGTATGTTAAAATTTATGATTGCGTCTGTGGGGTTGACCGCTGGATGTAATGGACTTGAGTCGAGGACGGGTTGAGTGAGGATGTGTCACTCCCTCCACAATGTCTAATCAATTTTAACTCTGTATATCTGTTCACTATCTTTATAAAATCTTTAACCAATATACATAAAAGTTTTCAACAATTGCTAGGCACACGGTCAATTACTAATAAACAATCTATCAACTAATTAAGTGAGCTTATCACAAAATTTTATGACATGACACTTATCATCTGACCTCCGACATGGTGCTACTCTTGGTCGTTCAACAAAATCCTTTACGACTCTCTCTCCAAGCTTCTTTCAGTCCTCACTTGAGCACACTTAGTTGCCTGGCAGGCTTCACACAGCTTACATTCCTCCACTCAAGGAATATCTCACATTAGAGTCCACACAGGACACTACCGCCCTCTAGGCTTCAGGTCGCCTCTAATATCTTCACAATCACTGAGAAATAATGCACGACGTCCCTGCAGCTTCCTCACATTTGAAAACAAGTAGCTTTCACACAACTACTAAACAGGGAACTATATTCCTCTTTCCAGGTCAACGACATACGTCCATTTCTGACGACTGTAGTAACTCGAATGCCCTTCGTTACGCCCTCTGTCTGCGTCACGTCAAGTCACAAAATGTTGACATCTCATTCCGTATAACTTTTACAAGATTCTCATCCTCTGGTTGTCTCTATTTAATCATTCACTAACGTTTACGTACTAAATTTCCTTTATCTGACATCTTAATCTCTGATCAAGTGTGCAGAATAACTCTCACCTGGTAGACTGAATTCACCAGGCTACCTGGGGTTCATAACAATATGCATGTCAAACAGTTTTTTTTTACTTCATTTAAATTAATGTTTTGGAACTGCCCAAGATCATCATGTATAATACTAAATAGTTTGTCCGTCTAAATGAGTTTGAGGAATTAACTTCAACATATTATTAAATAATCCTCATGGAGACTGGATGAGGTTATATAATCCTTCTCACTTCATATTTTTATGACAGAGGCTTGGTGGCAGCAGTCATTAGCCCATCAGAGCAGGTGTGGTCATGGGCAGCTTGGTGGCAGCAGTCATGTAGCCCATCTGAGCAGGTGTGGTCATGGGCAGCTTGGTGGCAGCAGTCATTAATCCATCAGAGCAGGTGTGGTCATGGGCAGCTTGGTGGCAGCAGTCATTAATCTATCAGAGCAGGTGTGGTCATGGGAAGCTTGGTGGCAGCAGTCATTAATCCATCAGAGCAGGTGTGGTCATGGGAAGCTTGGTGGCAGCAGTCATGTAGCCCATCTGAGCAGGTGTGGTCAAGGGCAGCTTGGTGGCAGCAGTCATTAATCCATCAGAGCAGGTGTGGTCAAGGGCAGCTTGGTGGCAGCAGTCATTAATCTATCAGAGCAGGTGTGGTCATGGGAAGCTTGGTGGCAGCAGTCATTAGCCCATCAGAGCAGGTGTGGTCATGGGAAGCTTGGTGGCAGCAGTCATGTAGCCCATCTGAGCAGGTGTGGTCAAGGGCAGCTTGGTGGCAGCAGTCATTAATCCATCAGAGCAGGTGTGGTCAAGGGCAGCTTGGTGGCAGCAGTCAGTAGCCCATCAGAGCAGGTGTGGTCATGGGCAGCTTGGTGGCAGCAGTCATTAGCCCATCAGAGCAGGTGTGGTCATGGGCAGCTTGGTGGCAGCAGTCATTAATCCATCAGAGCAGGTGTGGTCATGGGCAGCTTGGTGGCAGCAGTTATTAGCCCATCAGAGCAGGTGTGGTCAAGGGCAGCTTGGTGGCAGCAGTCAGTAGTCCATCAGAGCAGGTCTGATCATGGGAAGCTTGGTGGCAGCAGTCATTAGCCCATCAGAGCAGGTGTGGTCAAGGGCAGCTTGGTGGCAGCAGTCAGTAGTTCATCAGAGCAGGTGTGGTCATGGGAAGCTTGGTGGCAGCAGTCATTAATCCATCAGAGCAGGTGTGGTCATGGGCAGCTTGGTGGCAGCAGTCATTAGCCCATCAGAGCAGGTGTGGTCAAGGGCAGCTTGGTGGCAGCAGTCATTAGCCCATCAGAGCAGGTGTGGTCATGGGCAGCTTGGTAGCAGCAGTCATTAATCCATCAGAGCAGGTGTGGTCATGGGCAGCTTGGTGGCAGCAGTCATTAATCCATCAGAGCAGGTGTGGTCATGGGCAGCTTGGTGGCAGCAGTCATGTAGCCCATCTGAGCAGGTGTGGTCATGGGCAGCTTGGTGGCAGCAGTCATGTAGCCCATCAGAGCAGGTGTGGTCATGGGCAGCTTGGTGGTAGCAGTCATTAGCCCATCAGAGCAGGTGTGATCATGGGCAGCTTGGTGGCAGCAGTCATTAGTCCATCAGAGCAGGTGTGGTCATGGGAAGCTTGGTGGCAGCAGTCATTAATCCATCAGAGCAGGTGTGGTCATGGGCAGCTTGGTGGTAGCAGTCATTAGCCCATCAGAGCAGGTGTGGTCATGGGCAGCTTGGTGGCAGCAGTCATTAGCCCATCAGAGCAGGTGTGGTCATGGGCAGCTGGGTGGCAGCAGTCATTAGCCCATCAGAGCAGGTGTGGCCAAGGGCAGCTTGGTGGCAGCAGTCATGTAGCCCATCTGAGCAGGTGTGATCATGGGCAGCTTGGTGGCAGCAGTCATTAGTCCATCAGAGCAGGTGTGGTCATGGGAAGCTTGGTGGCAGCAGTCATTAGCCCATCAGAGCAGGTGTGGTCAAGGGCAGCTTGGTGGCAGCAGTCAGTAGCCCATCAGAGCAGGTGTGGTCAAGGGCAGCTTGGTGGCAGCAGTCATTAGCCCATCAGAGCAGGTGTGGTCAAGGGCAGCTTGGTGGCAGCAGTCAGTAGCCCATCAGAGCAGGTGTGGTCAAGGGCAGCTTGGTGGCAGCAGTCAGTAGCCCATCGGAGCAGGTGTGGTCATGGACAGCTTGGTGGCAGCAGTCAGTAGCCCATCAGAGCAGGTGTGGTCATGGACAGCTTGGTGGCAGCAGTCAGTAGCCCATCAGAGCAGGTGTGGTCATGGACAGCTTGGTGGCAGCAGTCAGTAGCCCATCAGAGCAGGTGTGGTCAAGGGCAGCTTGGTGGCAGCAGTCAGTAGCCCATCAGAGCAGGTGTGGTCATGGACAGCTTGATCTCTAATAGCGTGCTTGAGAGACCAAGGGTAACCGGAACAGCCGACGATGTCAGAATTTAAAAGAAAAATATTATGGATGTAGTTATTATTGACATCAATGCATTCAAAGATAATACTCATTAAAAATATATATATAATAATAAAATGGCTAAATATGCCTGCATTGCTGGCATTCTTGATCTTATAGTATGAGGTTTCTATGCTTCTACGTTCTTACTCTCGGGATTTAGAAGAACAATAAAGTTAACGAAATTCGTTGTGAAGGTAACTTGTGAAAGGCGCTGTCGGGGAGAACTAGGTTGAGATGTCATTATCCGGTGCTGTATCAACCCGTACTCTTAAAAATAACGTCGCTTTTCGCTCGTATGTGCGATATGGCCAAAGTGGACGTAATT